AAATTGGAATACCAATTTAATTTTATTTTATTGGTACACATGCTGTATAGTTTTAAACATAATCTTTTTTTATGTCTGATATTTTTTGTAATATCAGCTGGTGTCGAACTTATAATCATGTTTTCAGTAGTTCAAAATAAGGGAAGAGAGATCAGAGGAACCAAACCAAAGCTAGGAAAATTAAAATAAATGTACTGCTGAAGTTCTTATTTGAGTGCTTCATTTTACTAAATAAGAAAGTACGTAATTATTATTCTTGGAATACCATCAGCTGCAGCTATATATCCATATCACATATATTCTTTCCTCTTCGCCCTTCTTTTCTCTTAGCCGTTCTGAATCGTATTTTCCAAAATGATTATGACGTTGATAATACTAAGAATAGTACATAAAGTAACAATAAATAATAACTAAAATAAACAATAACTAAAATAGAAAAACCACGCCTTAAAGCTTATTCATTTCATAATTTCTTAAAACTAACGTCAAGACTATTCATAGAATGACAAATTTTAAAATTAAATCATAATAATATAATAAGGTCTTGTATTTTATGATTTTATTAATGGAATTATAAAATTCACAGTTTTAAATGTATGAAAATAACGTCTTATCTTTTTCCAAAATAAAAACTTTAAAACTTAGGTTTCTATTTTAAATGGCTTTACACATCTCTGTCATCCACAGCTTCAAAACAAAGTATAATTAAATTAAACATTTTGTTATATTCCTATATTTTTAGATACTGAATTAGTATACTTGTACGCTAATAGTTCCCATAGGCCTTGCGAATATGTATGCTAAAAAAAAAAAATTATAAAACAAAAATTTGCGACGTGTTTCAGAACTCCAAGCAGTAACAATTTTTACAGGGGAATATATCCGGAGCAAATCATTCGGATAATTTAAGGAGTTTATATCCCTAATATAAATCGTATAGCCAATGAATATATTTTTATAGACGTGAACACTGATCTAACTGCGTCCACCGCACACACATTCTTTTTCTAATATAATATTTCTGTAAATATTTTAATTTACTTGACTGCATTGTTCTTTTTATGTAGTGTTGTAATATTATGTATTGCTTTATGCAGTTATTTGTTGCTTTTAGAACTACAGTTTTAGAGCTTTTTTTGTTTGCAATTGAATTTGTTGCCATATGCTTTGTAAAAAAGTGTTTATTCCTTGAGTAGAATGATAGGTCTTTCAATTCTGAGACCAACAACGTTCAAAGTTTAAACGTAGCTTAACTAAAACGTGAGATATAAGCAAAAACGCTCTTAATGGGCATTGACGATATCTGGAGGTTCCTTGCCACTCGGGCAACTTTTTCGAAGATTCAATAAACCGAGTTTTCGAAGCCCTGCGACCATTTTTTCCAACTTGTTTTTACAGCCGCCCAGATGGGATAGTAATTAGATACTCTGACTGCCGAAACGAGGAACCCGGGTTCGAATCCTGGAGCAAGCATAGACGTTTGTAAACGAATAACGTCTGTGCAGCAAGGAGACACTCAAAAGGCAAAGTGAGATGAAATCCTCTCGAAGGGATGATGGTAGGGGTAAAGGAGTGAGATACACTCAGACCTCACGCTGGGGTGTTTTCTTTCGGAATTCCATTTGGGGCGAAAGCTTAGCCGTTAGCAAGGCCCGGCGATACCTAATATGCCTTATTAGGAAAAAATACAGGTGACGGCCTTGCTTTAGCCTGTACCTGCACTCGTTCTTAGAGTGTATAGTTTATTTACAATCTTTAGTAAATGGTTGTATATCCACTGAAAGATTATACTTTATGAGGGATTTTGGAAATTTACATATTTCTCATGCGCTAGTGGGGAATTACTTAATATCAGAATTCTCCTTGAGCTTGTTGCGTTTTGTGACATTATTATTCATAATAAATTGTCAGTTTCTTCCTGCCCATATAGAGCAGTTATTTAAAGAGGCAGCTACGAACCCACAGCTCTCAAAAATATTGTTGCAATATGTTATTAAGATATGTAAATAAAAATGATTGCTAATTAAAATTATTAATTTAAGCTATACTGAAAATGGTGTCCGCCGATAACATCACGGCAAAAACATCGCGGACGCGTCGTCGCGGAGAAAACAACGCAAGGCGAAAACGTCGTGCTACAAAACACCGTGGGAGAAAACATCGCACTTCTAAAACATCGGGGTACAAAATATTGTCGTCGAAAATAAAGCGGTTCAAAAACTTCGCAGTTTAAAAACATCGTCGTCGAAAATATCGTGGTAAAAATAAAGTATCTACAAAATATCGCATAACGATAACATCGCAGACACGCTTTTTTCAGGTTTTAATAACTGTAAATGGATATTCCCATAATGATTTATGAGCGCAAGATGGAAAGAAGGATAATTTTTACTTTCATATTTTTTATTAACTAATAAATATTTGCTGATAAAATAAGAAGGAAACTTAAGCATAAAAAATTAATGCAACTTAAAGCACTTAATAGAATTTTAAACTGACATAGTTAACTAACAAAGGCCATTAATAAATCGTTTTTGTGAAGTTTTTACTGTTAATTTTTCATGTAAAAGTACAATCTAAAAAAGATTAGAGAAAGAAAGGAAAGTAACTACATGACCTTATCTATAAAAAACATTGCTTTTGTAAAAATAAAAAAACTTTATTAGCAAAAATTTATTAGTTAATAAAAAATATGAAAGTAAAAATTATCCTTTTTTCCATCTTGCGCTCACAAATCATGATGGGAATATCCATTTACAGTTATTAAATCCTGAAAAAAGCGTGTTTGCGATGTTATCCTCATGCGATCATTTGTAGATACTTTATTTTTTACCACGATTACGTTATTTTCGACGACGATGTTTTAAACTGCGAAGTTTTTGAACCGCTTTATTTTCGACGACGATATTTTGTACCACGATGTTTTAGAAGTGCGATGTTTTCTCTTTGCGATGTTTTCTCCTACGATGTTTTGTAGCACGACCCCTTGCGTTGTTTTCTCCGCGACGTTTCGTCCGCGTTGTTTTTGTCGCGGATGTTTTCGGCTGTAACCACTGTTTACCGCGGATGTTTTCGGCTGTAACCACTGAAAATGCACTTTTATAATATTTTTTTTTTTACTTTTGGCCAAATTATATACATAAGTAAGGGAAGTTTTTTTGGATTTTTTGTTTTTCCTATTTAAGTTTCCTTCATTCATATAAAGCGTTTTGTGAAAAAAATCGACAACCGGTTGTAGTACTTTATTTGAGGCCGAAAACTGTTATGAAAACTGCTAAATTAAAATACAATCCCAAACTCTCCAAATTTAGTATATAAAATTTTTATATTAATACGAACAACATATTAGATTTTGGATAAAATTGACAAAAACTACAAGTAATACTTAATTTAAAGCTCTGAACGGTTTCGTGAAAAATGTATTGTTATGTAACGAAAAGCTTCACATATTTGGTTTTTAAAACTCAGTAATAATGTGAGTTTCGTAAGCATATTAGGTTTTCCAATGCGAATTTTAGGACATCGTATGAGAGGTATTAATATGGTAGTACGACATTCCATATGCCAATTTGGAAAAAAAAAAAAAAAAAAAAAAAAAAAAAAAAAAATTGATTTGAAGTTTCTGGCAAATTTTGAATTTATATTACCTCTAAAATATATTTTCATTTTAATGTATTTTCAGCGTGTGAAAATAAACATGATTTAATTAGAAACCCTCCCCTTTTTTGCCTAGAGGGTTTAAGTGGGTAAGAAATTAACTCTGTTCAGAGAAAGACTACATAAAAGCATTAAAAATACATTCTTTTAACAAAAAGTGTTACATGACGAAAATTGTCGCCATTCGATTTCTTTTTTAAACTGAAACCTATGATAAACCAACAATTCAAGAGATTCTTTGACAGTTCAATCTGCTTAAAACACGCCGTATATACTGAGCGCCGTCTGAGATAACCACTGACCTGACTTTGTTGTAAATGTCTTACAGTGTTAATAGTCATCCTGGCAGAATGGAATATTTCCTCCGTGTAAAAATATAAATATAAATATTACATGGGCATACAAGGCCTGTGTATAAACATAGATATGTTGATTACAAACATTGTCTTGTACAAGTTACATAAAATCATGACAGCTATGTGTACATTTAAACATTATCTGAATTCATATTTACAATACTTTTACTGAGATAATCAAAGTAAACTTGTAATTCATTTGCACATTGACTGGATTTTCAATATCATTTAAACGGCTTTACAATATTATTTTTGTCAAGTACATACAAACTGGATAGTAATATGCTTACATTACAATAGTTTTGCTCTTACAGTCCTGTTACTGTTCTACGGGGTGAGCTATATTTCTAGTGATTTTCACTTGTTGTATTATTTCGAATTGCTATTAAAATTATGCTACGAAGACACAATTCTCAAGGGACCATATATACTGTGAAAATCAATTTAATATCATTCATGTCGAGAGATGGATCTGTCTATCATTTCCCAGGTTGAACCAAACGAGTAGAAACTGGTCTACAGCAACTACTACTGCTGTCTCTGACTACCCTGATACATGCTTCGCATGATTTTAAGTATACCATATCTTATGAAAATCATTCTCGCTATATATGTGAAATCATTTTCGCGTCAGTAATAAAGGACGAGATATTAATAATAGTGCTTCAGTCTTTTTATGTATTCACGATGAGAATCATGCAGCAATTGTATAAGAGCTAAAAATGAGCACTCATAATGTATGTTTTCTTTTTTTAATGATGCATATGAAAATTTATTTTTAAAATTAAACCTTAAAACTATACAATTCATACATTGCCATTCTATGTAATTGCAGTTCTTCGAAGCGGAATCATAATTAAAAATTTTTAAACTTTATATTGATTTATTTACTTATTTCTGGTTTACAGCAGCAACCTTTGATTTTGTGTTTGATTTTCTAAAGAGTAGTAAAATATTTCAATATCTTAATGAAGCTTTTTGTTGCAGGTCTGGATCCAAAAACAGCTATGGTACTCTTCATAATATCTTTGTTTACTGTTATGTTAGTTCTGACATGTTGCATTTGGTAAGATATAAATTATTATCATTCAAAATTTTTACTTTTATAATAAAATATGAAATAATTATTTAAAATTAAATAACAGAAAATAAGCTGTTATTTTACTAACTTTACGTTGCATAATTTCGTCATATAGTGGCTGAATTAAAGTGTAGTTTCAATTACTATGCGTCATCTTATAAGTAGGGAAGAGAAGATTAACCCAAGAGTAAAATGAGAGTTTTAAATTAAAGAGAAGGGGTGCTATTGTGGGAGATAATAGTAGAGGAAGGAATTTTCATTAGGGATAATAATTATAATATTATGCAATCAGTTCTATAATAAAATAAATAATGATATCAGTACTATTAATTCCATTTTGATACATTAGACGTAGTGACCACCCTTTATCTTTCATTAGAGGTGCTATCTTGTATAACCCATAATATAATGTAGAAAAAAGAAACTACAGTGGGAAATAAAAGAAATATTTGCATTTACATATCTTATGTGTTTGTGTATTTAAAAGTAATTTGTTCAGAAATCTTCATTCATTTTAAATAATAAATCAAGTGAGTAGAAAAAGCAACCAGGAAAACCGAATTATGCAAAATATAGTAAGTAAAAGTAAATACTTATAATAACATGATTATATACGTGCTTGTAAATCGAAATTAAATTATATATGTCATAATATTAATAAGCTTCCTAACATTTTCAGCTATTAATAGGTTGTTTATATTTTAACATAATACTATATTTCAGCTGACGTTGGATATTTATATCGAGATTACCTTGATAGGCTAATTTTAACTGAAACCATAGTCTGAGCTTCAAACACACTCTTTCAGCTGACGTTGGATATTCAGTAAATTTTAAGCGTAACATACTTGTGCTAGATATATGTCTAAAATTATCATTTTAATTTTCTGTATAGTTCCCCTTTACTTCAAAGCACTTAGCATTGTGGTTCCTTAAGCATCTTAAGTAACACTTTTGAATTCATCATTTTCGCCACGCAAATGTTGCTTCATCTATTGAAGCAAAAAGGATTCATTGGGATAAGGTTTGTTAAATATAGTAAATTAAGGGATAAGCTAAAATCTACATTGCTTAATATTAGTCTGGGAAATATCAGTCGTGTGTGGCAGAGCCACCTCTGTCGATTTTCCTACGCGTTTTATCTTTATGTTCTGCAGTTGAGTTAACAGATGATTAATAAAAATCTGCTGTCCTAGAAGTAATGGAAGAGCAGTGGTTCCGCTCCATTCCAAAATTTTCCCAGAAGATTTCTAGGTTCTGTATTTAGGTGTTTGAGGTATTTTTATTTATTCTTTATTCCTTATTCTTTACTTCCTAGATCACAATGGCCATTTCTTTCTGGCTTAATATTTGGGGCTAACTTTCGACATCTCCAGGTGCTCACACTGGGATTTTTTTTTCTACTGATGCAACACCACAGCTTATTTCTATAGCGGTTTTAGAGGTTGTCATTAGTCTATTTCCCATCGTACGTTCTTCAAATTTAGCACTCAGTTATGTAGTAGATGAATCTGGAATCATCTTCGTGTGAGTTCCTTGTTTAAATATGCTGTTCTACCTTTTCCCGGTAGCATAAAATGGTGTTATATCACCACAAACCGTAAGCATATATTAATGAATATTTGTTGCTAATATGCTTTCTTTTACCGAAAAGATACTTACCGAACTGTGATTGAAATTTTCAGTATTAAGAGACAACATTGACTAACAGCATTTAATAGCTTCTCAGACATCCAATAATAATAATAACACCTGATGTGCATGCTTTTCCTTTTGTACTTCTAGAGGATTATGCAATCATTTCACCATGTTGCACTATTTCACAAGTATTGTTTCATATCACAGGCTTAGAGCTTATTGAACTCACCTCGCATTTATAGATCCTAGTACCGGCTCTTTTGAAGGTATTGTTTGTTCCGCTCATTCTTCTCCTTCACATTGCTCTTCGTTATCGATTTCGGCAGTGTGAAAAATTTCTTTTGACGATAATTTTATCTTGTTTAATTGTTTTATTCTTAGGTCTTTTTATTATGAAATTGTGTTAGTCTTTTACGTTACTTTTAATTATAGAAAAAACTGTAATACATCGGACAGCATTATGACCGCGTACTTCCTTGCAAAATGTGTAAATGATAGAGTTTTTAAAGGATTTTGTTTACTTGAAATCATTAGAATAAAACTTACTAAGGCATAGACCTATGAAGAATGGGTATCAAATTGATTTGTATTGATTTATAGGTAAATCATTTCTGAGTAGTCACTTCATAACAATTTTTTTTGTCGTAAAATACATAAATTATTTGTAGCCAAACATTCATCAAAAAGTTTCAACTGGATAAACTGACACTAGAAAGCTATATGAACCCACTCCAGCATTCTTCTTTTGCAGAAAATTGAGGATTGACACTCAAGTGGTTGCAGTTACGTTGTTTATAATAAGCCATAAAGTCCTTACAGTAAAGAAAGAAGTGTCATCATGTCACCTTATTTGTTTACTCTGTTTTTTGGAAAAAAATCCTATTATGATTAGACAATTACTCACGTTTAAGTAAAGAACATAGGCATGCAGATGATTACTTTTCTATGATGCATAATGATTAAATATTCGCCAAATATTGCAGGCCAATATACAGGTTATGGACATGTAATAAGCTCAACTTTAATTTTGCTTAAAAGGAAAATCAGATGATCTGAATAATTAGTGTTTTGGATTATTTGAGTTTTACTGCATGTTTCTTACTTTACTGTAAATCGATGTTTAATGCTTTTCGGATATAAAAAATGTGAATGATTTAAGTTCCACTGTATGTTTCTTATTTTACTTTTTAATTGGCCATAATAGTTATATATAAGAGATGATGTTTAAGAAATAAAAGTAGAAACCTTTAAACATCTTTATCAGCTTTAAAATAATTTTACTGCAAGTACATTTTGTAACAACTTACAAACGATTTGAATTATGTGTCTAATGCTCACAAAGTTCTGAAAATACATGATTTGGCAAAATTTTATTGAGAAAGACTAAAGTAGACTTTTATCTATGTTTGAAAGGTGCTATTCGAAACAAAGTTTGAAAATTAAGCTCTACATTATTGAAAGTAAATTCTTTCATTTCTTTCTTAAAACAGGTGTATTAGAAAATATGCTGGAAATTCCGTTTTAGGAATTTGTTTGGACTTCTGCTGCAACTTGCTGCTATGCAATTTTACATCTTCAAAATTACCGAAACTTTCAGAAGGTTCGTACTCCAGAGGAACAAAGGACAATGAGAGTAGTGAAGAATCAGTCCAGTCGGAATCCGCCTCAAGTCATACAAGCTCTACCTATACATTCAAAGATGGTCAAGATGCAGGTTTTAAAGAAGTGCGAGCTCCATGGAACAAATCTAGCAAAATCCCTCGAGCCCCAGTGATGCCCACGGATTCTATGATGAAAAGTGCAACAAGGAACTCGAGACCATCTGCTTTTAAAAACAAAACTCTTCAGAAATTTAAAACGAATCTAGACGTATGAGATGTAAATTTGCAAAGTATTAAATAATTAACTTGAAACTAATTTTTTTCATCCTAATTTCGATCAAAAGTAAACAGTAAATAAATTCTTTTAGTTGAATAATATAACTTGTAAAGGCATTAGGTTATTTCGAAGCAGGAGAGATGAAAAATGAGCAATGCCCTCGCCAGGACTCGAACCACGGACCTTTCGAATACGCGTCGAGCGTGCTGATCACTACACCATGAAGGCATGATAAGAAGGCGGGAGAAATACCTTGTTAATGGAAATACGATTTATTATAAAGGATAGTTCATACAGGATCAAAATTAAAGTTTCAGTCTAAATCGAGAAGGAAAAGAAAAACAAAATGTTAAAAACTTCAAGAATCTTAATATTATCTCACGTCGATTGATTACTCATCACACCACATTTTAGTAAGTGAAATTCGGACTTGTCCTGGCACATGCCGACACGATGTTTCACGGCTTTTAGTAGTATAGTACAGGAATGCACCATTATTATTTATAATATCATCGAAAGTTCTCTTCATCATGTATTCGAATCTTTGTGAAATGTTATAACTGTTATTATTATGTTTCTTATGAAGTCCGCGTTGGTGAGACTAGAGTAGTGATCAGATACATTTACAAACTGAACAGGTTTGAAAAGTTTCTCAATTATGGCTTCTCTTTTTCAGGATACGTATCATTATAATTCAGGTCTTGCTATAACTCAGTTCTTGCTAAAAGTAAGCTACGTACTAGTTCCTAATCATCTAGCTGTTATATAATATTTGTGAAACTTACAATAGCGATACGGAGTTCACATGCGCCTAAGGAAGGAAGGAATTTACTTGTAACACATGATATGTTGCCCATTAACATTTAATATGTCACAAAATAAATTTCCATAAATTCTGTAATAAATTTCGTGTATTCATTCCTGATCCGTACCGAAATCATCAGACGAGGTTTGATATGAATTATTATGTAAATATACTATTATATAAAAAGTAGCGAACTCCTGTTATTAACATATATTACATTTCTAAGGAAAAAATAGCTCTTTCTGAAGTAAACTACAGCTTTACATTCATTATATTTGGCTTCAATCAAATCACATGTAGTAATACTAAAGAATTTCTTTCTGTGTGTAGCTATTCGCTTCCAAAAATGTACAATTTATGTTTTGCTAAATTTGCATAATATTTTCTAGTGCAGTTCTTATAAAAATTCCTTTCTTAAATACTTTTTCAAAGTTGCAGTAAAATATGTAAGTTCAGGAAAATTAATGAAAAACACGATGAAACTAAAGAGCCTATTACTGTGAAACATTTTTTATTAATCAAAAAATGAAATAATGTTTATTTTACAGTACAGTATGTTACAAACCTATTTATTGCCTATTAAAAATGCGCTATTTGCTTGAATCCTTAGGTTTAATTTAAATTAGATAATTCAACTTCTAGTAGTGATGATGCATTCTTGCTTGAGATAAATTATAATGTTTCGAATCTAACTTAATTTTTGTAATTAAGTGAATTCATAAAATTCATTTTTTTAAAGCAAAGCGATTTAAATTTATTGTAAATTTATGTGTGCTTTAGGAAACAAATATGCAGAGATTAATGTAATTTATTATCAGAGGATAGATATTATATTCTAAATAAATTTATTTATGATAATGATTTAACTTAATTAAATGCCTCGAGGGAAAACATTTACTCTTTTTTCTTGATCATTTACTTATAAGTAAATCATTTAAAATTTAAATACTGTAATAGTGAATATTTAATGTTCTTATAGACTGAATTATTTATCACTCATAGTATCTGAATTTTAAACCATTTAAAAGATAAGCGTGTTTGAAATAGAAATAAAGGTTAGTTCAAGGAATAAGCTCCCAATGAATCTATTCTATTCAATAAACGATAATCATGTTTTCTTTTTAACCCCTTTTATTTCTTTCTTAGTTTGCATATTTCTAAGGCAAGGAAAATATAAAGGAAAAAGAAGAGTTTTAGGACTGTAAAATCGAAAACTTACTGGTTTGACAAATAAAATGAATTCCAAGTGCACACCCATTCATTACAAATCAAGAGTAAAGTTTTGGTTGCAAACATTATGAAGCAGTTTATTGTAAATTATACAACATGGGATGCACATACGTACAATGCTGTTTTGAATCGTAATCGTGTTGTTCGTTTGTCAGATTCCTTGAAAAGAGACCCTGTGCCATAAAATAGTGTTTTGTACATCATAACGTTCAGTTCAGTTTTGTTAATAAATAACTATCTGTGGATTGCATTATTAATTTCAAAGCTTCAAGATAGAAAGCTAAAAGTCGTCAGTATGAAGTGGAAATTGAGGTACACATCTTGAAGGCGATTCAATATATTCTGCTGCGTTTCAAACTTCTCTTGTATGCTCTGTTTGACAGACTGAGGATATTAATGGAGCTAAGAATAATATCCAATTGTACAGGTACTATGGAATACAATAGCTGTCTGGCAAGAAGTTCGTAGAACTGTTACGTTACATTTAGAATAGTTAACTATTTAAGTTAAGGCCTGCTTTTAGTCTTACATATTACTGATCATCCATGCTAAAAATAATTTCTTTTCCTAAACCTGTAGAATCATAAGGTTTTTCGAAAGAGGAAACGTGAAAAATGGGCAGTGCTGTCGTCGGAATTGAACACCGTAGTTCTTGATGACAGACGAATTTGCTTCCAATTACATCCTTAAGGCACACAGTAAGGAAGAAGAAAAATCGATGCATTCTTTTCCACTTAAAAGGCGACTGGAAAAGAGGGTAAACAATAAGAAAATCTTGGTTATCATGCACCACATTTTAGTTCAGGTTCCCTCTGTAAAGGATTTTCTGGCTTCAGTGAACGTGCTAAATCAATAATTCCTTCTTCGGGATTCGAACGTTAAACCTCCTGATACTAGCTGGATGCGCTTCCATTTACACCTCAGATTCATGCGATAAGAAAGGGCAAAATACTTCACAAGCCATTCAGATCCTTTGATGTAGATGAGCAAAAGAGCTTTCTTGCACATCTACATCAAAGGATCATCGAAATTATTGTCTCTGTTTTGCGGACTTGAGAAAATACTATCTTGTTGCTCCGAACCGTATGCTTTCATGGGCAGAAGTAATTTAATTTTTATTGTATTTTCTAGACTCATGAGGTAAGTTAATGTTTTGCATGCAAATCATAAGTATAAAGCAAGTAGGATAACTTCTTATATTTGCAGAGGATTTTATGTGAAATGAAAGCATCGAAAAATGTATGGTTGTTATTGATAAACTATTTTAATATTAAATGTAAAAACTTATTTTATAATTAAAATTATAATTAAAAACAAAATTAAAACTTTATTTATGTCACATGCTTGTATCCTACATTCTTAAGGATTGAATATGAGTTTCGCAATTAAAATTGTAAACACTTAACAGTGTATAACACTAAAAAAACTATGCTGAAAGTAATGCAATTAAGAAAATTATAAACAGAGGCTTATCACGCACATATATTGTAATTTAAATGCGCAGAATGAAGGAATCTGGTACTTTTCAGCATGTTCCGATATTCATCATGGCTAAGAAGACAGTAGTGGCTAAAGACAGGACTGAGTGGAAAGCAAGATGACGCATCCACCACAACAGAGCTTGAAGAATCACAATCTTTTATTTATTTACGCACATATCATATCATCCTTTTGCAAAAAAGATATATCTTAATTGTAGTTTAATGCAATAAGTTCCGTGTGTACAGGTTTTAAAGTACGACGCCATCTTAGGCAAAATGAACAGCAGCGTCTTGCCAACAGGGAAGCGTAAGCGAAAGAGAGCGCTGCAACTCAGAGGAAGAAGGGAGAGAGTCGATAGTTTCAGTGTTAGTTAGAGAAAGTTTTGGTTTACAACTATTTGACTGGGCAAGAGGTATCCGTTAGGCTTATTTGAACTTAAACAATTTTTAAATTGCTGATGATTCTTGCTGAAATGCACATTTTCCCAACATATAAGAATAAAAAAAACTGAGCTTACAGAGCTGAGTAACAGAGTAGGAAATATATATATATATATAATGAAAAATATACATATATGCATTTTTTGCTTTAAAAGTGATTGAATTATGTTATTTTTATGTTGACATTCCTGTGACTGAATTATGTTATTCTCATGTTGATATTCATATGATTAAATTATGTTATTCTTATATATATAAAATATTTAAATACTTTTGGTGCAGCCAATTGCAACCAAAAACGGAGTTTCACAACTACATGCTATAGCAGTTCCATACACAAAGTTTCAAAGTTCTGAGGCTATTCGTTTTTGAGTTATGCGAGATACATACATACGTACTTACATTCATACTTACATACATGCATACATAAATAGGTGCGTACGTACAGAAGTCACGAAAAAAATCTCTTCTGAATCTATTGAAAATCTATTTTTTAATCCGTTTTGGGAAAAAGAGACCTTTATTCTGTCTGCACATACAGATATCACGCAAAAACATTTTTAGATGGATTCGAGAACTGTCAAAATGGGTATTTTTCGTTGAAATTTGATACCTCAAATTTATCCTTTAGTTGAAAATGCTTAGGTTTTTTTCAAAGAGCTGCCGAAAACGTTTCCACAGGGCCACGTTTCTGAAACATATCTGGATAGTTATACATTCATGAAACAAATCTAAAGTATGTGCCAAATAAAAAAACAAATTAAATTAACTAAACGTATTTGTAATAGAAATAAAAAATTTAATAAAAGGAAACAATTTTGAATGAAGTTTTAATTTTTTTAAAAAGAATTATCAAGATATAATCTGTTCCGACCTAAAAGAAATAATTCTGTATAAAACTTAAACAGTATGAAATATGAACTTTCAAAAATAGAAAGAAGATAAACAGTTGGTAATATTAAAAGCAATTAGTTAAATTAATATATTTTCAAAACAGTTAAAAAATTCCTACAAATAAAAGTAATTAAATTTTTATAGACCGTCATTTTCCCCAGTTGTTTAGAAAAGACAGAAAAAGATGT